CAATGGAGAAAAATTCCTATTTCATGAGGGTTATTTAAATGAGAAAAACCAAGCAAACTAATCACACGTACAATTCCTAGAAGATGCCAGGCACAGTTATAGAAATATTTTTTAACCAACATTTTCCTTAATCTTCTGAAAACTTACTAAGTGTAAAACAGAAAATGGGTAATTTTCCAATCATTTAATATTTCCATCTAATTTATTCAATAATCAAAGTAAATTACATATTTTGCTTTAGAATATCATGTGTATGTGTCAAGCTGAGGGAAGGAAGGTTTTTCTTTTTTTTTCCCTCACTCACACGGTGTGTTGTAATGGACCTTGGATTGACACACACAGTACAATTCTTGGTGCATGGGAAATATACCTTACACCAGATGCTACTGGGTATACTGATTCTACTCTTATTTGACTTATGAATTGCGTAGGAACAAGTCCACCTCAAAGCAGATACAAGGCCAAATGGCCAGGCGGAGGACAGTAAGGGAAAGAATAACTAGAAGTTCTCTTGAGGCTGGCGGAGGAAGTGGGAGTGAGAACTTGACATGGATATTTGCCAGGCAATAAACCAAGGTTAACTTTTCTTCAAAGTGCTTTAGTTCACCAACGCCATTGATCTCTGGCTATTTGCTGTATTCAGTGATAATGAGAATGATTCTAATAGCAATAAAATACCCAGAGACAAGCAATAACACGGTCCTAAATTAACACCTTGCACAGTAACCCTGAGAGAACAACGTTATGCAATGGCATACCCAGGAGCGCATACCTAACCTCGTCAAATAATTTTACGTTCGGTACTTAGCCCTCACGACATATTTTCACTACCTTTCTTAAGTGAGCAAATATATTTTTAGACCAAAGAAAGAAGAGGCATACCCCACATTTCCTCAGTGGACATGACTGAAGCTTGTTGTTTACCCTAAGGACATGGAATGAAGACAGGTTTGATGTTGCTCAAAAACAACTCGGCTTTGACTATACCTCCTGAGGATCAATTAGATCCACAGGAAAGCTCCTGGAGCGCTTTGGAGAGGCAGGAGCTGCTCATTAGAAGTGCGACTAGGGGCGCTACTTCATTTCCTACAAAGTAGCACTTGCCTGATCCCAGCTCCTTTGACATGAAAATAAAAAAGACTTCCCACTGAAGGATTTCTGTAAATGTACCTTTTTATTTTTCCTCACACCAGGATCATGACTCAACAGTTTTCTTGAAACTGAAACTATGTTTCTTTATCTAGTAATATTTTCTACTTAGAAACTTTCCTATTTGTGTAGTTGCAGCTGGAGGGGTGTACCGAAATACTGCATTACAGTAATATTTCTGTTCATATTTTGGCCTCGTCATGCTTTTATTTGTCTTAAAAATAGAAAACTCAGCACATTCTATTATTTAGTGAGATCTTTAAATATGGAGTTCTACTAATATTTATAAATTTCTTTTATCTCACTGTGCGGAGTTTCAATATTTATCTTTTACTTTTTATTACAACATTCAATATTTTCTGAATAACTGTTTAAAGTCATAAAAAATACTATACATCTATTCTGCAGGCATTTCCCACTTTGTAGAGGTTAACTAGGAATGATTCATGTTTCAGTAAGGACATAGAAAATAAACCTGCATCCAGGGAATAAATTGGGTTCTATTGGCTGAAAATGCCAGGGATGCTTGGTAATGGCTACTTGTATTCTTCTTTGTAGGAGATGTTCTTTTTTGGAGTTCTTTTCTCATCACAGACATGACCTGAGAAGGAAAATATTTGCTGTGGCCCAAATGTTCGTGTTACTCCAGAATCTTTATGTTCAAGCCTCATCCCTGAGTGTGTAGCGAAGGGGAGATGGAGATTTTGTGAAGTAATTAGGTCACCAGAGTAGAGCCCCCAAGCATGGGTTAGTGTCCTAATGAGGAGGACCCTAGAGCACCTTCACTTTCTGTCTTGTAATAATACAAGGAGATGATTTAAAAAACATACACCCTCTGCAGAAACTGGACCCCCAGTCACCTGGATCAGGGACTTCCTATTCTTTGAAATGAAAGATACAGTAAATGGGTATTGTTTAATCTAGTCTTTTGGGGTGCTTTGTTATAGAAGCCTGAACCGGACAAAATAGAAAGTGGCACTAAGCAGTAGGGGTGCTGCTTCAATAATTGTTTAAAAATGTGCCAACTGCTTTGGAACTGCACAACGGGTAGAAGCTGGGAGAGCTCTGCATTTCTATAAATCACACGCATTCAGGGTGATTCTGGCTAAGATGTAGAACAAAAGAAATGAAGAAAAGGATTCTTCCTTCTTAGAAAACATTTAAGTCTCATGCACAGAATATTCAAAATACAGAAGATAAAAGCCGTCCTGAGGAATGGGAGACAAGTTACTGGAATCTGCAGGAACTAATCCTTGCTGTCAAGTGGCAAAGGCTATGCACATAGTACATCTATGCTACTCTTTTGTGGAAGATAGAACTTTCAAGGGCTGGAATTCTGTATTTACCTCATGCAGCTTATAAGTACCTGGGTTTCTTTCTGAGCAGTTATTGCAAAATAGAGGAGAAATATTAATTGAAGGTAGACTGGCCAGGCAAAAAGGAATTAGAATTTTTAACTGGAAAATAGCTCAGCCTGTCCATATCCCCAAAGATGAAAGTATTTTGAGAGGAGAACACTAAGGAGTGACAGACTGATGATTGGATAAGAAAGTGTGTATGAATGTAAACCACAGATTTCACCCCGTCAGTCAACAAAAATGAGGAATAAAGATGATATTACAGCAGCAGACACAGTGCCAGTGGGGACTAAAGAAAGTAGAGAAATAATAAAAACGAAGGAAGACTTTCCGACTTTTTAAACCCTATAGGACCAGATCGTATCACTTGAGAACATGTACCAGTGTTCAAGTCAAACAAAGAACATTAAAGTAATACACCATCTTTTGGGGCCTGGATGTAGCTACTTTCGTGAGGATTTCAAAGTGTCGTTCCAGCCACTGGAGTGACGTGTGCGAGCAACAGCCCAGCGGAGCCCTGAAAGTATGGCCTCCACACACACATGGGCAGGTGGGGCCAGGGCAGAGAACCACGGCACGGGCCAGTCTTGTCAGTGGTAGGAGGCTGTTACCAGTAGGCACCGTATCTGCCTCAGTGGACATGAAGACAAGGTCCTGCTCCAAGGAAAAGTCATGCTTCAACCTTGGGGTTTAATGGAGTTCGCTGTGCTAGTTTGTTGGCCCTTCATGAGCCCCAACACCTCTTTTTCCCTCTCCCCAGCTCTTGGAACATGAATGCCTGCCTGCCCTACACTTGTCACACCACTGTATTTTGGAAACGCAACTTGTTGGGTTTCGCATGTTCACAGATGGAAGGAAATTTTGCCACAGGCTGAATTTCTCCTCCAGTCTCACCTATGCTTCATTGTACGATGTTTAGAGGAAATTTGGGCTTTAGAGAGCAGTGTTGCTGGTGGAATACATTTAAGACTGCGTGGCTGAAGGGACAGAGTTGACGGACTGCACAGAAGAACATGAACCTTGGTGGGCCAGCGTGGAATGCTCAGGGATGAGTATTTGTGCCCCTCTCCTCAAATCATCTTGAAACCCTAACTTCCAACGTGACAGTATTGAGAGGTGGCCCTTTTGGGAAGGTAATCAGGTCAGGATACGACAGACCTTGGCCTCATGAAAGGAAACCTGCAGAACTTGCTTTCTCTTTCAGTCTTGCATGGATAAAAGGAGACAAAAATATGCTAAGTAAGAAAAAGGTATTCATTAAACATTGAATCTTGTGGAACCAGTATCGTGGGCTTTCTGTTCTTCACATGCATGAGCAATAAGTGTTGCTTAAATCACACAGTCTGCAATATTCTACAAAAGCAGCTTGAACTGAGATAGAATTCATGAAATTTGAGAGGATGGAGTCAGAGGAATACAGTCAGACAGACATGCACGGTTTCAGAATGTTTTTTGAGAGTTTTCTATGTGAAGGTACTGTGCTGACTTCCCCAGTGCATTCATGATTCATTTCTTTTCATCATCTTCCATATGTGGCATAAAATGTTAGCATATATATGTATTTCTCTATGTCAGTACAGTCGGTTCTTAATTTGGTTCTTAGGAAGACTCACACTGTTAGAGGTGGAAGATTCAGAACACATTTCATGTTTGGCTTTTGCTTTGCAACAGTGGAAAGCATGTGTTAATAAGCACACAGTAAGGTACATGGGAGTAAAATTCAAATGGATTTCGGGATGGATTTATAAGTGAGGAAAAGGAAGGAGAATTATTATTCTTGGTAGTAATAATGGATTTGATAGAATTAGAGAGAGAGAGAGGAACAAGGAGAGGAGGAGGGGAGTGGGGAGGGAGGGGAAGGCAGGGGGAGAAGGAGAAGGAACCTTGGACTAAGTTTGTCTGTGTTTACACAATCCTCAAATTTAGAAGATGCAGGTACTGTGAAAAAAATGACTTTCAGGGGGAAAAGGAGGGGAACTAAAATGTATTATGGATATGTACCAGCTCCCTACAGTGAATGTTGGGATACTGCAAACATAGACTAATATTTTTTTCAATGACTTTCAAATTACAAATGGTAAAATCATTTTATTTCTAACACAAATTTTGGGTAAAAGGGTAGATATTTAAAAGTAACTGTAAAATGTATCAATGTTTATTATGTTTTTGCACCCTGAGACTATCTTAATACCACGGATCCTGAGATTCATTCATCATGGCTGTATTATTAAATCTCTTATAAGGATGAAAAATTGAGATTTGTTACTTCACGTGACATGTCCAGCATCTCCCCGGGGTGACACAGTTGCACTGATTGACATGTGATGTTTTTGTTCAACTTCTATGGGCTTTCCTCTACTCTGACAGTCATCATATGTGTTTTTACGTCATTGTAACTAAAACAGTGTGCAGCTTTGGTCAGAGACTACTCATCCTTTCTTTGTTTCTGTTTAGTGTTTCTCACACAGAAAAGAAAACGGTTGCGTTTCTCACCTGACGGCACTGCTCCCCACGTCCAGGTCTTGTGCGGTGACCGCGCCGATGATGGTCCCCACCGGGGTGTCCTCGTAAACCTCCATGGTGTAGATCGCCTTGCTGAACACGGGTGGCTCATCCACGTCCAGCACGCTTATCTTCACCGTGGCTGTGTCCTTGAAAGGGCCCGCCGAGTGGAACCGGTGGTCCAGGTGCAGGTTGGAGGCCTCCACTTTGAAAGTGTATGCCTTCTTTGTTTCAAAGTCTAAAGGCTGCAGTGAGGACAAACAAAAGTGAGAAAGTGCATGTGTGCCTATTGGTACAGGGTGTGGCAGAAATGATGACCGTTGCTTCTCAGAAGTTCGCAATTTAGTATCAGTGATAATGGTTTCACATTTCTTTCCTTTTTTCCTTTTTCTTCTCCTGTGATATTGCTGATTGAACCTAGGGTCTTTGCACTGAGCTGCATCACAGTAAATAGCTAAATTGCCCAGAATGAGCTGAAGCTTTCTATCCCCTGCCTCAGTCTCCCAAATTTTTCTTTTGTAATTAGTGAGTATAGAAAGCACAAGATAAATGTGTTAATAAAAGAACCACACACATGTAGAAGTTTCTGGGCAGCTTGTACAGATCCTCTGCTGTATATATTAAAATGAAATAACACACACTATACATGTGTACTAGATAGGACTTACTGATCTTACATAAGCAATAGGCAAGCAGTAGGAGAATCCTGGTAGGAGACCTGCTGTTCTGCTCTTATCCAATGCTGCCCTCTGGTGAAAACAAGACATAATGACCACAACGCAGAGCAGAAAAGAATTTGGATAACTGAAAAGCAACTTAGATTCCGGTTGCAAATCTATTGTAATAAGCTACGGGATCTTTTCTTATTTTACAGCCAGGATTTCTTATAATGACATGAATATCATTTGCTGTTAAATGTTTTCAAATGCCTAGCTATTTTACTACAGAAGTTCTGAATCAACTTTTACAAACATATACAGTGGTTAATTATGAAAAGATTTAGCTTTCTGTATTCCTAGGATGTACATAAAATTAGTGGCATTTCAGAATTTTGCCAGGATTTATCAACAAGACTTATGGATTTAGGCCTAAATAATCATGTTAAAGAAGGCTGTGGAAAATAATATAAGAAGTCATTTCCTTGTAATCACTGATGTTCAGTTTTAGCTTGCCATTACTGTAAATATTGGTTATTTCTTCCAAAAATTGAAAATAATATATGCCCAAAATATGTTACAGCTGTGATTTTTAAAGTGATAAAATTGAATACCTCTGGCTCTGATTTGTGATCACCAAAGGAAAACTAAGGCAAAATAAGTATAACATTAATGTGAAGATTTTCTGTTACTTTTCAAAGTTCCTGTTTTCTAAAATAATCCTCTCTAGTGTGCCTCCAGTGATTTGCTAATTGTTGTGTCAACATCTGTTCTTTTACATAGCACACATGAACCAAAGGCAATTTTTTTTCTGATTTAAAGACATGAATACTGATACATGTGTTTCTTCTGAGGAAGTAAAAAGAAAAGGAAATAATCACTGTGAAATCTATAACTCTCACAGTTAAATAGTATATACTGTACCCAAAAATGTAATATATATTTATACATGACATAAAGTCTGTTTCATAGCATTTTTAGTCAAGAGGTTTATGTTTATTTTGTTTTTATCTTTTATTATACCTATTACACTCTGTTCGTTTTTGTCCACTGTGTATACAACAGTTGTGTTGACTTCATTTTTATTTACTTATTACCAACTGTTAACACATAACATTGATTTCTTTCAACTTCTTGTTGAAACTGTGATTTCTTTTAAAATCTGCAGAAATAAAAATTGAGAAGACTAACATGCTATAGTTGATAATATATCTATTGATGACCTAAATAGAAATGTAGTATCTAACAAACAGAGAGGATGCAGTCCCATGACCCGCTTTTGAATGTCTAAAACCTGACTCCTGTAGCTCATTAAAAGAATTGGACTCACAAAAGACAATCTGTTGCATATATTTGTGAAAGAATTCAAAACTTCACAGTACAATGATACATGAACACCTATGTTTATAATAATACAAGTCACAATAGGTAAGCTCTGGAAACAGCCTAGATGCCTGCCTATACACAGACAGATGGAGTTTTTAAAATGTGATATGTATACACAAGGGAATATTATTTAGCTAAAAAGAAGAGGGAAATTATGTCATGGGTGGAACTTGAGAACAAACTGTTCAATGAAACAATTCGGACATGTAGTTAAATGGCAAAAGATTTTTCTTACATCAGAAATTTAAAGGCTTGTTATGGTTGATACATTGTGTCAACTTGGAGAGTCTAGAGGTTAGGCTAAGTAACTTAGCAGGAAGCCAGAGTGCTTACTTTGCATATATCCTGAGCCTGTGGAAGAGGAGGGCAAAGATTATGTGAGAGCTACACGCCCCTTAGGTGGGGGTAGACTGTTTATGATGTAAGGCAAGAAAGAAGCTGCTTGCCGCCATTTCCTCCCGTGTTGCTCTGGCTGTTTGCTGTTCTGCTGCCGTTCCCCTCTTTGCTCTTGTTGCTTTGCTACTTTCTGCCTCGGAGCCAGCCAAGTATGGACTGAAACCTCCACAAACTGTAAGCTAAATAAACCTTTCCTTCCTTCATTTTGGGTGTTGGGTATTTTGTCTCAGCAACGAGAGAAAAGTAACCAAGACAAGGCTTGAACATGATCAAGATGTTCTACGTGTGTATTGCCTACAAAATGAACATCACTGTTCTGTATTGTAAACACACATTAACACAGAAAAGAAAGAAAGGAAAACCAATTGCTAGAAGATGACAGCAAAATATTATTAAAAAGAAGAAATTGATACAATAAGAGTTATTAGCTTGGAATAAAAAAGACCAGGAGACATTATGATAAACACATTCATAAGTTAGGCTTAGTTGATGTGCCTCTGAGTAGTGAATTGGCAATAATTTAGTATCGGGAAACAGTAACTGCAGAAAAAAGAAACCAGTAAGAAGGGAAATGAGTCAGTATTGAATTAGTTAAAATATTCTCAAAGTTTCATTTTTGTGTAAAATGCACAGTGGCAAGGTCAGAGATACACCCAGGAGAACGGAAAGATGCAGAGATGAGTAATGTGGCTTTCCTCTGACACCCAACGAATTAGAGAAGTGTGGCATCCTATCTAATGAATGCATCTGAGGAAGTGATGCCTTTCTAATACAATGTCTTGGGGATGTCAGAGAGAGAAAAGTATATGATAGAAGTACAGTAGGTAATTCAAGTTACAGAGCATGTAAAATTGTACTGAATGAACGAAACCAAACAAACAAGCTTCAATATTGCATGATTTCACTTACATGAGAAATATGACCTAAACTGTAAAAGGAAAAATAAAGGGAAACAAGGAAGGGGAACAAGAGGTAAGGGAGGAAAAAGGGAGGGGAGCGGAGGATGAAAAGGAAGATGTGTTAAGGACAAGGACCAACTCCCCATGATGCATGCAGTCATGATGTGCTGCGCTAAAATTTAGAAGCACTGTGCTTTCTGTGTTTTGTAAACTCTAAATGGGTCATAACTTGTAAGCAATATAATGTTTCTATGTTAGTCTTTCCAAATTCTAGTAGAAAATGCATCTGATTTTATCCACTTAGGTTTACTGTTGGGGACCACTACAAAGTGGCTCTGAGCAGGATTTAATATTAACCAATTGGCTTTCCATGTTTACTTGTGAGTTGTCTGAAGCTTAGGCACCTTGTCTGACAAGATAAGGCCAGAGGTGAAGACGTTTGGCTCTAACCCCAGTTAACTACGATGAGACTCCAGCTGCAGGCCCCACACTCCTACAATAAATACCAAGTTGAAGATAAGGTAGTTCTCCTGATTGACATAATTTACTACTTGGGAAAATTCTCCCAAGGTCCTGTGAGACTCCCATGTGTTCTTGAATATCCTCTCCCTTTGTTTGAAAACCTAATAAACACGGGCCGCCCAGAGCAGTCTTTGGCTAACTCAAAGCATACTGAAGCTATAAGAGAGTGAGTGCCTCCTGGTACCCTAAAATCATTTTATTGTCCACATTTTATTTAAGTCTTGGACGTCCACTCAGTTGGAAGATTGCAGGCCTGATCAGCCTGAAATAACTTGGGGTTATTTAACCCAGTTTTTGATAGTTTGCCTCTTCCCAGAATCAAACTGAGCATCTCCTTTAGCGGGGAATCATCTCTAGTTTTAGAGTGCAGGCGTCAGTTCCGGTTGTTCCTCTGTGCTTCCTCTGCTCTCTCCTTGAAACTGAAAGGTCTCTAATTACCTGTATGAGTTTGCAAGTTTCTTTTATGTAAGACGTTAATTTATGTCCCTACTTAATATTACAGATACCTGGATAACTTTGACTCCCTATTGGTAAGTCCTTTTCAAGCCTAAGATGAGAGAATTCTGATTTTTTTTTTCATTTTTTTTCAGTAAAACAGGCTTAATCTATACCTTTTAAGAACTACTGACCTACCACAGAAAGTGTAAATCTGACGGTCAGGGAAAGAGAGGGAGATGAAAGTACCTTTTTGTACATATAGATTTTCTGCAGCTGAAAACTTATATCCCACAGTGATCAAAGAACTGTAATATCCCAGGTGTACTTATTTTTTCCTGTCCTGACCTTCAGCAATCTCTCTTCACAAAATAGAGTAACTCAGAAAAAGTAAGGGAGAATTAATAGTCATCATTCCCTACTTGACTCTACCCATCCATCTGACAGACTACTCTCCATGTTTTGGAAGAAGAAAGGAGCTTTCATTTCACAATCCATAAAAATTTTGAGCATTTGAAATAAGCATGGAAGAAACAAGATTTGTTTATACATGTAAGACAATAAATTAAATTCAGTGATAATTTTATTAAGAGACTGAAATAATTTAGTTAAATTTATTTTTAATAAATTAGATAGGTTTGTGACATTATTTGGGGCTCATAAATTTATGAACCTTTCCGGAATTATAAAGAAAAAAGAAAGAAATGCCTAATGAAAGTTTAGTTCAGCAGCTCCTTGTTCTTTTGGCTATTTCTATAATGGAAGATTAATGAGATCAGAATTTTTAGGAACCAATTGATATTGTTAGGAGTCGTACAGCGAGAGACCACAATTATGGCAAAACAGAATATATTTAATTACTACCCAGGGTATAAAGGGAACAACTGGGCAACATATAACCTTTTTCACAGTTTTGTTTTAGCTACTTTCTCTGCTGTTATTTTTTTCCAA